TTAAATAGATAATTTTTTAGTTAGATTGCAGATATGATGGCTAGTGTAAAACCCAAATAGATTACTTAAATAGATAACTAAAAGTTGTACATATAACTAGTTGTACTTTTATCATAATTATAAATATTATTAATTGTCTAATAAAAAGCTCTCAGCTATAAAGATTACCTTAAAACAGAAAAAAAAAATACTATATTTATAGCTAACAATTTATTAAATATTTATTGTTTCTGTTTCAAAATTTTTAATAAAAATAAAAATATATCCATTCAACAGATCTATTATTAGTAGTTAGTAAAATCTTAAAATATATATAGTTAATATTTAGATTCTTTATTATCTGCAAAACTTTTATTAGAAAAATTTAATTTACAAATTATATTAAATTATCTTAATTTAGCTATACTAGTACTTAAATTTTTAATAATATTATTTTATCAGTTAATTTATAATAAATTAAATATAATAGTAATCAATACAACTTATAGTACAAACAATTTGTATAGGAATTATATATATTTATAAGTATAATTAATAGTAACAGGTTTCTTTTTAGTTATTTGTTAATTTTAATTTGAAAATACTATAATATAACAAAAACTCTTACATGTTGAATACAAGCTTTAAAGAATTAATATTGGAAATATTTTTCTTTAATTTTAGTTAATAAAAATTTTTTAGAAATAAATATAGCATACTATTTTTTTTTTAATATTAAAGGTGAAACCATGCTTTTATCTTTATTAAACTTAATAAAAACTTTTTACATGATTGGAAAAGGGTTTATATTTTAAGTCTAGTACTAAGAATAAGAACTCAGACTACCAGTATTTTATCTGCAGCCTAAACTTATAGCATACTATTTAGCCAAAAGCTTATATACAATTATATATATAGCATATTAACCACTTTTCTAACTTAAAAGACTTGTAGAGCTTGTTGAGACATATCTAATAGTAGTTAAATTATCTAAATCAGCCTGGTAGATGCCAAAATATTTTTTAAAAATTTTTTTTTTAATTATATAAATTTTTTTATAAAACAATAGAGTTTGCTAAGTATCACTACAAGTGATTATCATTGCAGTTAATTTTTATTACAAATTACATAATTTTTTTAAAACTTTTGCTGATAATTTCTCAATAATCACTTAATCAAATTTAGTAAAAAATTTTTTACTTTAATTTTATAATTTGCTAGAATTAAAATAAAAAAAATTCATTGAATTTGATTTAGTAGTTGTTAGAATATCATCACTAAAAGTTTTGTAAAACTTAAAATATCTTTGAAAATCAGATAAAATTTTCTTTCTTTAAACTTTAACCAGTGATTTTTTGACTATCAACTATTTGAATTTAATGAAACTTTTTTTTATTTTAATCCTGTAGATTTATAGAATTAAAATAACAAAAAAGTTATCAAATTTGAACAGCTAGTTAATGAGAAATATTTATTAAAGTTAAAAAGAATTTGACTATAGCTTTTTTTTTAAAGATATCTAAATTTGAATAAAGATTACTCAATAGCCAACTATCTGAATTTAATATAATTTTTTTTATTTTAATTATATAGCTTCATGGAATTAAAATAAAAAAAAAATTAATTAAATTTAAATAGCTAGTTATTGAGAAATATTCATTAAAATTTAAAAAAAATTATTTGCAACTTCTTTTTTAAAAATATCTAAACTTTGATTAACAATAACATAGCACTTACTAGGTTAAATTTGATTAATTTTTTTTTTTTAATTCTTATGCTCACTAAATTAAAATAAAAAAAATTAATAAAATTTTGACCAAGTAAGTGCCAAGTAATATTCATTCAAAGTTTTAATGAATATTTCTCAACTAGACAAGTTTTGGAGTTAGATTAAGCAGAGTACTTATAATTAGTAGATAGCAATAGCTGATAATAATAAGGTTGTACATTCTAAAAGTTTATCGCTATGTAATTTAAAGTCTATTTTGATAGATAAATAATATGTAAGAAAAAAATATATAAAAGATTCAAAGATTAAACTTAGACTTGAAATTTTTTTATATAAAGCTAGTATTTGATAAAAAGAGCTATACTACTTTGTGCATATATGTTGGTAAGGGTCATCTATAAAGAAGTTAAGGCATTTATTAAGCAGTTATTATAAATCTAAAGTTTAAAACTAAAGAAAAACTTATTAATAAATAATGCATTCTTACTGCTTAAAAAAAAAAAAAAAACTAAAAAAAATTTATAACATTTGTTTTGCTTTAAAAAAAAGAAAAAAAATATAATTATCTTGTTAATAAAAAAAAATCAAATAAGTAATACCTCATTTTGTTTTTTTAAAAAATAAATCAAAGTACATACAAAAGTTCCTTTTTGAAAGTTTATATTTTAGAAAAAAAGGAGAAAACAGATATTAACAATCTTCAAATAAAATTTAAAAATAACACTAATATATTATATATAGATATGAATATAGGTGCAAATATGGGTACAAATATAGATGCAAATATGGATACAAATATAAATATAAGTATAGATGTAGATACAGATATAAATACAGATATAGTGAAGGTCCAGTAGGTCAAAAAATATTTAACCTTAAAATACCGTGTTTCTGCAACATGTATACCCCCTGTGGGCTATACCTTGCGACAATTTTGAATAGCAAATCATAATTTATACCCGGGTATTAATTACAGTGTTTCTTTGACACGTATACCTCCTTATAAGTTGTATCCCACCTCAGAAAACCTATAAATAAAAAAATTTTAGCCAATCAACTTTCAAGATCAGAGGTAATGTGGCTTTTATTGATATACCGTTTCAGCATGGTATCTGCATAGTAAATTTTAATTGAAAAATTAGCACTAATCCTAACTCTAATTATAGCCCAAGATAACATAGTAATGATGGAAAAAAATTATAACTACAAATAACACAATTAAAAACTTTGTATTTTATTTTTACTGCCAATATCTATAAACTCAATATTTTATTATCATATCTAAAAATTAATAGAATCAAAAAAAAAATAAAAATCTAAAATTCTATTATTCCCAAACATTATTGCTACTTTCAACTTCTTCATATTCCTCATCCTCAATATTACCAAAATTTATTGGCTTAGAATTTTTACCATTTTCACTTGCTAACTCATTTAGTTCTTTATAATCAAACACCAGATCATCCTTTGTTCCATTCATTTTAACTGAGACACTACAACACTTGAACAATTTTATAATCAAATAAGGATCAACCTCTCTACACGAATCCATTACCCATTGAGCAAGAGTAGCATATGATGGCTTTTGAAAATATCTAGCTGGTGTTAATTGATGAATCATTTTAGATATCCATTCATCATAGTGGCGATGCACCTAAAAGTTTAAAACTTCATTAATATTGTATGCTTAACAATAATGTTTGACAAAACTTATAGTTTTGCCAGGAATCACTAATATTCAATACGAATAGAGAATTTTCATTATGTATCTTACTCTTGAAGCTCTTGTTAATCACAACATCCAGGGCTAGAGCTTGCTGATTAACCTTCTCAGAATTATTGCAAGGTGAGTATTATCTTCTTTAAAAAGATATTTGACAGAATCTACTAAGTAACCCCGAAAGGAGTTCAAAACAAGAAGAGACTGTGGCTTTGCCACTTTACTATACTTGGTTCAAATATTACTAATCCAATAGTGCATCTCATACTCATTGCACTATCCTTTATCATTCACTTTTATGACTACACCCTAAGGAAACACTTTACGGGAAATAGTTTTTAGTTTAAAAATACACACCGGTAGAAGCTTCATTCCATTCACAAGGCACCTGAGAATTACTATAAAGTTTGTTCTTTCGTGCCTAGTAGTTCTAATATCTACTGTTTTAGATCCATGTTTTTCAATAGTAACCGGACTAGGCATGTCAAAAGACAGGGGAGTTTTGTCCATGTTTCCAATAAGATTAACAGGAAAATTGTATTGCTAGCATTTGAACAGAATGAACCTCAAAAATTCAGTTTGTTTTTCATCAAGATTAGCTGAAAGGTGCTGTGAAACTGTTGTATGCCTATGGTTCAAAAAATTATGGCAACACATGAACTGACTCAACCAGCTTTTGAAAAACTTATAGCTATCAATGTTAGAGTAAACATTTTTAAATTTATTAGTTTGGGCTAATGTCTTAGCCTTTTTTATAACTATGTTTTGGGTGATGGCATTTTGCTCATTACAGTGACTACTAATCCATTCGACAAGCCTTTCTTCCAATATTGGATACTGGGCCTGTTTACTATGATTAAGGGTTAAAAGGTATAGTGCAGTATTTAGAAGTTCATTCTTTTTATTAACCCAATCACGAACTTGCTTTGGTTCTATTTCAAATCTTCTTGCAGTTGCCCTCAATTGTTAGTTTGCTCATAATAACAAATAACTATGAGTTTTTCTTTGACAGTCCATAGGTGACAGCTTTTACTAGTAATATAAGCACATTTCTTGTTATTGCTTTTTCTTAGAGATATTCTTAGTGCTAAAAAGTTTGTATAAAGTACAGTATAAGAGCAGCTTTTTTTTTTTTCTTTTTTTTTTTTTTAAATACTGATATCATAGTCATGGATTACTGTGTATTATATATGAGTTACAGAATTAGAGGCCACATTCATGGTCAGGGTATAAGAGGCACCAGAAAATGAGAGAAACTGAAATAAATATATTGTAGAAATTGATAATTTTACAATGGTCTTGAAGGTCTTGTATAGCATTATAACTTTATGACTTATAGTAACATATCACATATATAAGTGTAAAATTAGAAAATTGGCTACATGGTCACGTTTGGCTAATAAAAAAAAATTAACATATGTATCCACTATTAGTACAATGTACTCCTCCCATATGAGTACCCGGGTACATAATATAAACTAGGAAAATATCCCAGGTACACATGTTACAGAAATACAGTAGGTATTTGTCTATATAAGTTTATAATTTTACTATAGTATAATATTTGTTTGTCTAAAAATTAAAATTCTTAATAGGTGCCATATTCAAAAACTGGGGTTTAACTATAAAGCATGTTGAGAAATTTGCAACAGAGAATGTGTTTGAAGTTGAAAGTGTCAGCTTTAAAGAAACAAGAGTGGTCAGATCGTCTATTATACTTTTGAATATAAGCATTCTGGTAAATACTATACAAAAAAAAAAGCAGATACAAAAGACAATTAAAAACATGAAAGTGCTAAAATTGGCTATTTATAAAAATTAATTGTTGTTTTTCTAATAATAAAATATATATTACTTTAATAACCTAAAAGTATAATTATTTATTGTCTAAAGACATACAAAATATAAAATCAAAATCCTGTTGATGCTTAAAAAAATTGAATTTATAGTAAAGATTGGTTGTAATGCTGATCCAATTATTTGTAAACTCTAAAAATATTTTCTCAATACTATAATTAATCTAAAAACTATATATAATGCAATTAGTTATTTTTAATATAACAAAGAATTGGTAAAAACTAATACTGCTAAAACACATAAAAAGTTAATACAATTACAATATAAAGAACATGGCTAGTTTGTTGAAGCAAGATTAAAAAAGAAGATAATTATTTAACTAGATTGTTTTAGATAAAGCTATCACAAATCGATTTTAACAAAAATTTTATGATATTGCAATTAATGACAATATATCTTATACAAATAAATACTATATATATTTATCACTTACTATTATTGTAGATAATCATGCATGTTCTTGAATAGCTGCAATAGTAGTTGTATTAGATTTCCTTTAGTATAGGTAGCTAATATAAAAATATTATAAAATTATAATATAAAAAAACTCTAAGCTTAACTATAA